CGTATTTTATAAGACACCGTGTCGAGCCCGTCCGACAAAGCCGCTTGAACTGATGAAAATCCCGGAGACGGCAGCGCGAGTCGTCTTCGGGATATCGGAGGTCTGCAAGATTGCGTGTCAACGCTCCTTCTGCTGCCAGGAGGGGGGATCTGAAAAGCCCAAGCCGACTCTGGTCTGCAGAAGAAGGAGCTTATCGCGGTGTCGAATAATTCATTCCTGCTTTCTCTGTATATTCCGGGTGAATACGTAGATGATATCCTCGCCATATCTTCGTGATTCTATTTACGCCTGGAAGAGGACTCCTCCGTTCCCTAGGCGAGAAATCTGGCACGTGCTCTCGGAGGCCATTGCAGTCCGCTGCCGGCGGGGATAATTGCTTTAAGAGGCTGCCATAAAAACATCGTGGCACGATGCGCAATCCGCTGGGGCTGTCTTCGATGTTGGGGCTTATGCAATCCACACGGGAGCGATCGATCCTTCTGCGGTGCTCTCTGTGTGAATACCACTTCGGACAACTCTGTGGTAGGCGAATCATTAAGTATAGAAATGCGGGCTGGCGACGACTATGATTTGCTCGTGGCGGTTTTCGGAACTTTCTCGCACAAGGGCTGCACGTCGCGAGGGAAGTTTTTGAGTTTTGCGATGGAGGTTCTCCGGGTCTGGTGAACGGCTTGCTGCGTACTACGATTTCTTTACTTCTCGTATTTCGCTGCGAGTCGAGGCAAACTGCTATGGCTTCGGTCCCATTCGACGACTCAGCTCCTTTACACAACTCCAACAATGGCGATGATAATATCTAGTCCCGAACTCCTCTGGGGTACATTGCGATTCGAGACTGGCCAACGTATTTTAGTTATGTTGGATCTCGATTCCTTGTAATGACAATTTTTGCCTCAATGCTACCGAGCCTCCCACGAAATCTGACCTGATCGTTGAAAATCCCCCCGGAATCCGAAACCGAAGCAGTCGAATCGAGGGATCCCCTTCTGCCGGCCACGGAGAGTTACGTGAGGAAAAATGGAACTCTATGCCCCCCAGCTCATCCTTAAGCTGCTCCGGTAAATGAGTGCAGGTCTCTGCGACGAGGCGTACCGTCGACTGATGCCGGCGCCGGCCTACCTCTCGATCGATCGGGACCGGAAAATTCTCAGTCCGAACCAGTCGGCGCGCGACACATTTCAACCAACCTCAAGCTTTCAATTGTGCTCGTGAGGTCTCGCCGCCTCATCAGGGTCCCGAGTATTTCCGAAGCTTTGCCGGACAAGTGATTGTTTGTTCTCCGCTCCCCAGACACTTCTGTCAGGTGAGCGGGGAGTCCGCTCTCTCGTATCTACCCGACCTCGGGTCTGAGTGAGTTTTCGAGCTGTGAAAAAAATCACGTTTCATTTGAGTTCCTGGGGAGAGGGCCTCGCGGAGGCTTACCAATCTGGACTCTCTGAGGGAACTTCGGCCCTCCTGTTTCGGACACTATAGCTACCGATGACCACGATTTCTGTTCCCATTCTACTGGTCGAGGCTGTCCTCCTTCCTTTCTTTCGCTTTGACGAGGACATCTACGGCGGAGCTAGTGCGCAAGCCAGCCAGAAAGATATTTATACGGCGCCGGCGCTCGCTAACAGTCTGACTGACTGCAGGATGCCGAGACGAAGCTTCGTCCGCTGTCAAGCGTGAAGGAAGTGTCAGGTATTCTGTTGTTTCTTGTGAACTCAAGGAGTCAATCCAAGTGAACCTGGCATTCAAAGCAAACGACACTTTGACAGGCCGTCTTGGCCAAGTTCACGCTTGTCAATGCTTGATGAAACAGTGTGACTCACGGATGAGTCGTTTGCCAGCGATCGAGACGATTCATTCCGAGACCACCGGGGAGTGATCCCGCGTATGTCAAGACACTGCTTGCTTAGTGTCGTAAGATTGCTTCCGATTCCATCGGACGACATGTGTCCTCCATTATGACGTGAGTTCCACTCGCGGTCGATTCTGATCCGCTCATGGTAAGCGCGACGGTCGTCCCCTCTGGCACGGCACGCGAACTTTTCGACTTTTTTTTTCCAAGTGGGGATGGACTCTCGTGAATGATCCTCAGAGGTTGTAGGCATTCCCGAAAGGAGACGGCGATCCCAGAGCCGGGTTCCACCGAGCGACCCCCCATACTGAGCGATTGGATGGAAAATTGTCTGCGGACGTCAGGAATCCGGCTAAATCTACACGGCTGAATCGAGCTCAAAACTGATATTATAAGAGCCCGGCTCAATGACTTCAGAGAGATATCGGGTACCTTGCATAAGACTTTCGCAACAAGCCGTTTAAGACGACGGAAATGGAAATCGGATTTTTTAGGATTCTGATTTTCTTTTTTTCGTGAGGGAAGCCTCTAGCTACACCCTCCCGACGCCCCATGTGATAGCATCGGAAGATTGACAGGATTAGGACGCTAAGGGTCGATTCTCTCTTCGTTACCAAGAGAACGGGAATCGATCTTTGGCTCATTATTGGAGTTCCTCAGACATTTCATATCTATCCAATACGGAAGAGCGAAGACCGACGACCGAATCGAGGAGGGAATCGCCAGTGATGAGTTTACCCTGTAGCTTGACGATGTGGGGAACGCTAGAATGAGAATGCCACAGTTGGATCTATCCCTATTCGAGAGTCGGAAAATGAAAATGTCCGAAAAGGAACTCTACTCATTATTGACCTCGATGGATGGCCTTGACGTAAAAGTGATGATGAATTTTGACTCTAGGAGCTCAATCAACTTCCATCTCCTAATGGATGGTGGCCTTAATCACAGACGTCTTTGAATAATTTATTTCGCATTGCTCCCAAAAATTGAAGGCTTCGCATGATCCTGCGTAAGGAGAGCAAATTCTTGTAGTCGTGCGGCTTCGCTCATGAGTGTCTCTCCCTCCCACTTTTTTTGAAAGAGCGGGATGGTCGGCCTTGCTAGTCTTCTTTTGAGGGTTCAGCCTTATCTCATCGAACCCTCCTCGACAAACGGAGGATGGCGGGATAATTACGAGCCTTCGGCGCTTTTCTGCGAGCATATGAGGAGGACCGATCGTTGTGGAAGAAAGTCGGAAATGTGGATTCACTCGCCCATCCATTCACTCGCGATCATCACCCGTGATCTGTGTGCGTGTCGCTCGGCAAAGGTAGCGGCTACTGCGCTCCATTCGAATCGGATCAAATCTAAACCAACCCAGTCCTGTCTCGGCTGATATCCAAACAATCAGACCCGGCTTCGCTGCGAAATGATGGGGATCACCAAGACGTGTACATTATTTAGACCTACGGTCCGCAGATGTCCGCTGTGGGGCCATCGGTAGAGCCAGTGCCCATGGGTCGGGCCTCCCCGTAGCTGCGTACAGGGGTATAGAAGCTCTTGTAGCAGCTATGCCCGTTTGTGACGCCTGGGTCCCCGAGTGGGACCCTGTACAATATATGGGGAGGCAGCTTTGGCAGTCAGGAGGTTTTTCTGTCCGTTCGGGCAGCGACGATCGGAGTCGACCCAATCCGTTCGGGCGATCGACGTTGCTGAAAATATGAGAGGCCATAATTTTCCTCGCTTCCTTCAACGCTCTCGCTAGGCCTACCAGCGAGGGGCAACTCCCGATCTCTTGAATGAAAATTCTCCGGCTCGGCACGCACGACGGCCGAGGGTTCAGTCCCGGAGTCGACTCATTGCGTAATTCGACACTCTTATTGGACCGCGGTCCGTCCAAACTTTGCGTCATAAGATCAAAAGAAGATATCGGATCCCCCTTCAAAACTCGGTCGTAAGCTCCCACTCCGACCAACATGGGCCGCGGATCAAGTACGACGCCGCGAGTGCGAGGTACGCCAAGACCGTCCGGCGTCGTGACGAACGGTCGATGGGTCTGCCGGCCTCTGTCGAGTTCTCGATTATCAATTCTCCCCGCGATTAGCAGTAAGACCGTCTCTCCGTGACGGAATGGCATTCGGCATCATTCGTTATCATCGGACGATCGAACTACAATAGAGATCAATAATCTGGAAAGTGGCCGTTCCGATAACGATGGGTCAACTGATTTCATTCACAGGGTAAATATCGGCCGTTTACACGTTTTGAGCACCACCTAATCCATATAGGCGAACTCGCCGTATTTGATTGCGACTGGTGTCGAGTAGCGATCCTGATCTTTCCCTGCTGCACCGTGAGTGGGTTGAACGGTTTGGGCCGACCCGGTCCCGCCGGGATTGATTCCGGCGAGTCATTCTGGTCAATTTGGTGATGACGTGATGACAAGCAGGCTCGACCCGAGACCAGCAGGCGCGAAATGGGCTCAGGACATGCAGACTTCCGGAGTTTCCCTCTAGACGTCCGTGTGAACGACGGTTTGTGAAAAGTCCGGCATCCGTACTCCTTGTCCCCCATCCAGTAGGCCACTCAGTTGTAGGCGACGCTCCAGTTCTACGAAAATCGGATACCAGGCTCAATGAGCTTGGAATCCACAAGTCAAGACCCCGGGTTGGAATCAGCTTTCGCGTAGAACCTTGCCGTCCCTTAGGTCTTCTTCGTAATCTCTCGCAGACGTCCGCTGAGACCTTTCATATCCGAAGCCCCCTTCAGGTGATAATTCTTCTGAATCTTTGAAGTAAGGTTTCTGACCGGGTGCCGCTTTCATCGATACCTTTCGGACGTCGTTGCGATCATCTCTCAGTCGACTGTGCATCTCGTCAGAAAGGAGCCACGGCTCTCGAGCCGAGGAGATTCTGTCCCGCTCTCCTCCGAGCTGAATCGCCATCGAGCCCAGCTCAACGATTTCCGAGTGAAGCTTATCGAACTGAGGAATTGTGGGAGCGAGACCCGAAAAATTGCTAGGACTTACGCACGATGTCTTCCTCAGTGAATGGAATTCGCCCCCCTTAATTCAAGTTTCTCCTCGACCACAATGGACCGCTGCAGGCGGCTGAGAGAGAGAGAGAGAGGCGTAACCTCCCCAGTTTATTAATTAAGTTCTCCTTTGACTCCTCCACAGCCAATCAGCCATCTCTTCGGCTCTCTCGGATCATAAGCCGCAGTTCCAGCGGTTGCCGAAGAATATCGTTCCCGAAAGTTATAACATCACTCTGAAAACTGATCTCGAAGAATTTATTTTCCAAGGATCCATCAAAGTCACCGTAAAGGTGAGTAGGGGCGAGCTGCTGCCTCCCCAACCGGCGAAGTTCCACCGGAGGCATTGACGAAATTAATTATTATACAATCACGAGCACGGACTTCGGAACCGAAGTTCCAGCATCTTTTAAGCGGATGGCGAATCAATGCACGTCATCGTTTCGAGTCAAACTCCGGGACCGGAACCCTTGGGTGGTCTTTCGACTCTCGACCCATTCACTGAGGATGCGTTCCACTATGACTGGGTCTGTTATGTATTTGTGGTATATCGTGCGCGCCCCATGAGATCATTATTTTCGTCTAGTTTCCTCACTCAACTGTGTCAGGGTCATTTGTAGGCGAGGGTCGACGCATGTGAAAATTCCATTGAGCTCTAATTGCGGACACGCGGGGAGTGGTCTGAAATGAGACGACTTCTCCGAGTCAGTGGATCGTCCAGAGAGTCGCTCAGAGAAAGGTGGAGTGACGCGGCCTTTAGCCTGTCTCCTAGCGACAGGGTGTGGGGGGACACTCGTTTTCTCTCTGGCGGAATGTTGTTGTGTGTCGCTTCATTCAACCTCTCCATCGCTGTCTACGTGTTATATCTGTAACGAGTCTACGTTTTCGAGCGTGCGTCGTTTAGGGCTCTGGAAAAATCAATCAATCAAGGGATTTTGACGTTCCACAACAATTTCTTTGCCTCTTCTACATGGGAGGCAACTCAAAGTCACGGCGAAATGCATATCTGGTTTTCGTTTTTCCACCGATAAGTCTTCCTTAGAGAGTATCGACCGTTACCCGGAACTGAGCGGAACGTCACGCCGGTCGTTTTAGTCAAGAACGACCAATTTGTGCTCTGGATTCAGTGGAGGGAGGAGAATCCGCGGGGAAATTATCTATCGACTTTGAAGGCGGTAGCGAATCAGTATTTTCTATTTTCTTTGGAACTTTAGCGATTGTGACCGAGTCTGGGGTTCGTGGGATCCACTCCGGAGAAGCTCGTCCGTTGCTTCGTCACCCTCTCGGAACCGACCGACGAGAGTACACGCGGCCCGGCCGGAACTGCTATCAAAATCGTATCAGAGGTGAAGTCTAGTTCGAGGACTCTTCGAGAGCTTGTGCTCGAGCGGTCTCTCCGGAGATACAACACGTCTGTCCCGTGCCACGTCCATGTTTTTTCCGATGGGATTCGATCTCACTGAGTAACTCGACACAGAGCTTCAATGATTCGCATAGAGATCAAGCTCTGGAGCGGAAACCTGTCCAAAATGATTATCTCACTCCCCGCGATTCTCGAGACGTCATCGATCGAGCTGCGAGAGCCGATACTTAAGGAATGACAAGATCTTCATGGGCTGTGCTCGTAGGCGGTGAGCAAGATATTGAATGAGCGATTTCATTGAGCATAATGAATACCTCGCGTCATGGAAAAGAGAACCTCCAGTGAGAGCCCCGTCATACCTCGTTCTGCTGATAAGCATGTGATCGATTGCTGCTGATGGGGAATGATCATGCGTGGTCGCTCAGTTTACTGCGCAATCGTATACCTAAACAAACTGACGTGTGACGGCTACCGGGTAGAGCGGAAACCCGACTTTGGACGAGTGTGCCGCGCGCGTCCCCTTTTCATTCGAAGATACCCCCGAGGGGATGCAGCTCAAAAAGCAGAGGTCTTGTTCCCGGCCAGGATCGATTCCACAAGAAGCGGAAGATAGTCATCATGCCGAAAATTGCATGATCGAGATAATACAAGCTGCTTCCGTTCGAGTTATTAAGAATGATACCGAAAGGCTGCCAATGTTGACGAGCTGAGCCCAAGTTTATTCAGTACTCAATGACATCGCTCCGAACAGCTCGCTGGCTGTCAAGTAGGAGAGGACTCACTGTGTCGTCCGTCATCTTTCCTTGTTCGAATGAGACGCTCTGAAGATGCGACTCTATTCGAGATTCTCGTGAATTCATTGTCCCTGGAGAATGTGCGCTATCGGTCTGACAACGGCGCTTGGACTCCAGCGGCTCGATCGAACCATCCCGCCGAGGCTGAGCCTCGGTCGAATGAGAGGATATCTGCGTGTTTTCTCTAATAAATGGTGGGCGTCGAGCGGCCATTGAACCTTTTGTCGGCGCGCTTCCCCCCTCCTCTGCCTACAACGCCTGTATTCGGTATTCAAGTTCCTGAGGCCGTTCTTTGAAGTCCCGCGGAGGCGGGTTACTCTCTCGCAAATCGACAGTCAACAAGTGCTTTTTACGGAACGTTCCACGGACGCACCGAGGAAGCTCGTCACATGTTTATTCACAAGCTGCGGCTTGGATGATCCGATAGCCGCGAGCGTAACCCTAGTCCAGTCTCAAGGGGAATGAACGAGCTATTACGAGCGTAGGCCGTGTTTATCAAACGAGGAGCGTGATCATATCGTTCGACTGATGAAGCCGCCCATGGAATCCCGCGAGCACCCGATTCGCGAGAGCCGGAAGTTCAATCTCGATCGAGTCTTCCCCTAACCACCGAAACCTCTCCCTTCGCTGAGTCCCTGGAACAGGTCAATCGCGCCGGTCGATTCGCGGTCAAGTTCGCTAAAAGAGACGTAATTTCGGGGTCGTAGCTGTTGAAGTCCTCTCCGAACGCTAGACAGCAGTCAATTTACGGCAACGCGTGGGAGGTCTCGAGCGCAACAACAGCCTGTTGATTTACGCGAGGATTCGACGGCCGGACTGTTCACGGTCGTTCCTTGTCGAGGCCTGCACTCCGGCGAGCTATCTAAGCACTTGCAAACATTGCGGTGAGCTTTGATGATGCTCTTCCCCGCAGATTGGCCCTCCGGAGAGACATCCGTAATCAAGAAGAAGCATTTCTGCGAATGCTGTCATCATTCGCTCATATAATCACTACAGCTCCATTTCTACGGTCGTAATCGAGTTGCCTTGAGCAGCATAGCCCGGGAAATGGACACACACTCCCCGCGTATTCGACGAGAAACGATTCCTCGGTGCTGTGAGTGTTCCTCCCACCGACGTCGTCGTACAGCTTGCCGAGTTTCTTCCGAGCCCTGCGGACTTTTCGCGGAAATCTCCCCATGGAAAGGAATGATCGCGGAGCTTTTCATGCGCGGAGCGGTCCACGTGAGAAGGCATGAGAGCACGATTCGGTTGTTCGGTGGCGAGCGATCTGATCGTATCCCATACAACAGATCGGATCGAAATTTCAACGCGAGTCCTCTCAGGGGTTTTCTCAAGCTCTGACAAAAAACGTTCTGGAGGTCGGGGCTTCTGACATGAATTCCGGGGTCGAGGGTCATCCCGAGCGATCGGCGGGATCGAGAAATGATCGCGGCAGTGCGCCAGTCTCTTCGACGGGGACCGGCCGCTGAACTCTAGCTGAGAACTCGCAGGGCTAGAGCCTCCCGGGGAGACACCGGGTAGAGAAGTAAACTGCGGCCTCGAAAGCTCATGAAACGGTTTCACCGTCGACTGTTATTGACATTGAATAATACGCGAGGGGAACGAAAAGCAGGCTTTCATATCTCTAATAGCCTGGTGGAAGAACGCCCTTCCCCAAGGGATGGACGCACGTTCCGTGGAACACCCAGACACTTCTGGCTCGCGTAGGCGGCGTAGAACGAATCACTCGAACATACGTGGGTGGCTTCTTCCATCAGACACAAAAGTGTCGATTTCGAGCCGATATTGTCGTCGCTGGAAGCGTGAGGAACTTTGGCGCTGTCGGAGACCTGAACATGGCGAGCGTCGATTCGAAGGCGTGAGCTACGTTTTAACCTTTGTACGTATTGTCCGTGGGGAACTTCAGAATCTAGGACGTCCGTCTCCCTCAATCGCTGGGAGCCTGCGCCGATCCGCGAACTGTCCTCCTTTGAAAGTCTCTCCTTCGTCTACTCGGCGAGTTTTGGAACAGGCCCTCGTTTGTGAAATAGCTCTGAGTCGACTCAACCGAAGTTCTTCTTCCAGGTGTTGGAGGCGTCGCGGACGCTGAAACTAGACTCAGATCAGCTGAATGTTTCGAACGCAGAGCTAGCGATAGTATCATCTGGCAAAGTCCTCAAACCCGAGATCAAGATCCTCCCCGACGAGGAACGGTTACTCTTCGTTTTCGACGAGGAAATCCCTATCGGTGAGCAGAAAAAAAAGATACAGAATTCGTTTCATAAGTAGAGAGCCTGATTCCAGTTGGGCTAGTGTTCCTGGCGACGAGAGTCGGATGGAAACACCCACGCAGCCTGGCAACTACAACATAGCCGCGTGTCGCCGTCGGATGCCTCATTTGATTCCGATTCAGAACAGTCGGAGTTCTGTTCGAGCCGATCGTCGAATTCTCGGATGATCCGAGAGCTCCCGAGCTCTCCGAACATAATTACCTCGCGAAGAGATAGATAGATTTATACATTCGAATCCCCCGGAACTGGGAAACTAGACATACGATTTATGCGAGACGGTGCTTCTCCTCGACTCCCTCCGAAAAGGATTGACTCGGTGAGACCGTTTACTTTGCCGAGACGAATACGAAAAACTTTTAGATCTCTGATGAGGTTACTCGGAATCGGCGAGCCGTTCGCTCTGAAAGGTTCAGCCTTTTTTCGTACCGCTCGACGCGGTCGACTCGTCCCTAAGATTGGGGATCCTCCCCGAGGAACTCGCTCCCGGTAAATAGAGGAAAGAGTCAATAGATCCTGTGAGGACACGGAGCGCTGCCCCTCTCACATCCCTATCGCAGTCGTTCGATTAAATTGCGAGCTGGCTGACCGGATAAACTCCGGTGGTAGAGAGACGATCACCTGACAGTGAGTACACTCAGGATCCGTCGCTCGGGAATTCGACGTTTGGAATCGCGACGCTTTTCCGGACTTTTGGGAGTAGGTAGCGTTCGTTAGACTTAACAACAAGTCGGATGCTCTTTCGAAAGATTCGAGTCATTCGTCTCTCCTCGAGGACTCCGCGAGATCTCTCATGAGACGAATCCCGACTGCCACGCGCAGATTGTCTTCACAGAATATTCCGTCGGATTGAAGCACTTATCGTTCGCGGCGCCCCTGTCCGCCGTGTCGCCCGGGGAATAGAGATAGCTCGAACGAATATATCAAAATTTTGATCGAATTTCTCGAACTCTCGGGCTTCTCCCCCATCGAGTCGGAGATTGTTCCCTGCTCCCCCTGATATCGCTAAAAGCCGATAGAGGGCTAGATTGGGCTAGGGGTGGGTGAATCATCTGGGGAGGAATTCGACTTGTGTGGGAGTTTTCGAGAACGCAGACGGGCGCTGGACTCCTGTGGTGGAAAAGTTCTCATGCTCCCTCTTCTGTCGGGACCATGTTCTGACGGCGCCGAAGTTTGTCGCACGCCAAGTCGATAGACGACGAAATGTATTTGATTTTCGGAATCGGATTTCCTGAACTCTGCGCGGACTCATCCTGTGTTGTCGCGTCCCGGAGAAGTCTCAGATCGAATGGATGCTGAGAGGATCCCGTTCTCGTCAGTTCCTTTCGGAGAACGAAATAACACCGGGGACTCGGCCTCACGACAAAGCCCGGCTGAGGGCTCCGGGATTCCCATGGGTTCCTCGTTCAAGGTTATCCCAGTTCAAGAGCCGTCCTCTGTTCATATTTCAGGTGATGCCGTTTTCAGCTGTGAGTTTCGAGGGATTCTCGGCGACAAGCTACGTGGGTTGTATCGGAGCAAGAGCAAGAATGCCAAAGGAGAAGACGCCTATTTTGCCGTGACTCAATTCGAGGTAAGCCTTTCTTGATGCTCCGCAGTAAACAAGCGGAAGTGGATGGCCGGCGTCGCGAATATTCTGCATTGAACTTGTTCTCGGCAGCCCATGGATGCTCATCGTGCCTTCCCGTGCTGGGACGAACCCGCAATCAAAGCAACGTTCAACTTGACTCTGATTGTCCGAAAAGACAAGTTGGCGCTCTCCAACATGCTGCCTATCGACGAGCAACCGCTCCCCGAGGACAACGAGTGGAAAGTCGTCCGCTTCCAGACGACACCGAAAATGAGCACCTACCTCGTAGCCGGTAAAGTTCGAGACATCCTTCGGGAACCTCATTCCAGGAATCCTGATTTCAAGAAATTGAAGGATAGCTTAAATCGTTTCGAATAAATAGAAAAACTAAACTCCCTAAATATATCCCGATACGGAACAGTTGTGGTCGGCGAATACGATTACGTCGAGGGAATCACGCAGAGTAAGATCCGAGTCCGAGCTTACGTGCCTCTCGGCAAGAAAGAACAAGGGAGGTACGCCCTGGACACCGCTGTCAAGGCGCTGGACTTCTTCGAAAAATACTACAATGTGAGTAAGAAACTAAGCCACAACGAGTTTTCGTTGCATTGTTCGCATGGCGCCGTGTGAACACCGACGGGGAACGAATCGTCATATTGAATTTTTTTGTTGCAACGAGCTCCTTCGTCTGGGGCTCCGACCCTGGCAGACTCGTCCGTGACCACTCAAGAGCGTGGAACTCCTCGAACTCTTCTATCGTTATTAGTTTTTCCGCCAGCTCTGTCGCCCCAAGATAAATACATGTGTTTTCGAAAGTCTTCTCGAGAGTGTTCAGGGGTTCTTGGGCGGAAAAATCGCGCAAATACTTCGAGTACGACGACGAGGGAGGGGAATCGGGGTTTCTTTTCGAGATATTTACGGCCCGCTAGCATCCGGCTCACACGAGCTCATTCGCAGGTGTCTTACCCACTTCCGAAAGCGGATCTCGTGTCCATCGCAGATTTCGAAGCTGGTGCCATGGAGAATTGGGGTCTCATCACGTGCAGGTAATTCGCTAACGCAGTCATACAGAGGAAAACTGCACTGGTGGTCACTTCCTCCTGCCAAGCGAATTCCTCCTGAGCTGATTTCGCTAGACCGGAGGTTTGGGTTGCTCGTACCTTGAACGAATCGGAGGTTCCCCAAGTTGCGGGAAAATCAGGCCCCCGCAGAATTAATTCTAACTCGATTCTCCACTGAATTATCAGGGAAACCCTCATCCTTTACGATCCGACCCACACGTCAACCATTCGAAAACAGACCATAGCGGCCATCATCAGCCACGAGCTGGCCCATATGTGGTTCGGGAATTTGGTAACGATGGTGAGTTGATTTAAGAACTGTGTGTATGCAAATAGACTCCTTAGAGGAAGCATATCCAATTAGAGGACCAACCCGATTTCAGCAATGGTGGACCGATCTTTGGCTTAACGAGGGTTTCGCTCGCTTCATGGAGAACCTTGCGACACACGCTCTTTTCCCCGAGTACGACATTTGGACTCAATTCGTATCGGAGGGCCTGAATCAGGCGCTCGGGGTGAGTTCACCGCTTCAGGAGGAGCGTGCTCGATGGAGATGCCTTCGCGCTCGAGACATACTCCCCTGAGACGAGCACGTCAGGCATCGATGCTATTCTCATTTGTTGTATTCGTTCCCTCATCCAGCTCGACGCGCTCGACAGCTCGCATCCGATTGAGGTCCCGATCGAACACCCTGCTGTGGTGGATGAAATTTTTGATCTCATTTCTTACGAGAAAGGTGCTTCCATCATACGAATGCTAAACAACTACATCGGCGATAAGGTTAGTAGAATCCATGGTCCGAACCCGATGCTTTCCACGCCGCACTATGCGGTGATGTTGTCTGTCCTGGAAGAATAGTCTTGCCCGATCCATCCGTTTACTGTTACTTGCGCTTCCCTTGCACAAGTTGATTCGATATCCGATGTCAACGGAGCAGCCGGCGGGACCTCAATTTTGTAGTCAGACAGAGTTTGTGACTGCGCCTCTTTTTCGGACAACGGGCGTGACAACGGTAGTGGACATTGTTTGCCCCCTGGGAAGGCTTTCCGACTCCCTGGGCAGATGCCTTCAATCCACTGTTGTTTCAGCCTCGTTCTTTATAGCGGGAGCCTCGCTGGACAGAATGAAACGTGCTGTCATCACAAGATGCTATCAGGGTCAGAGATCGAGAAGGATCACTATTCACCGATGGCTATTTTCATTCTTCCTAGGGGGAATCTTTCGCGATTGTCCATCCGTCCAAATATTCGTCGCGTACCTCTGTCTCACGTGATGTCTCGAATGTTGACGATGCGAGAGATCGAGTCAGCTCGGGATTCAGCAACGACCTTGAGCGGATTTGTCTTCCTGAAAACAAATGTGCTCACGGTCTCTCGAACGCCCCTAGTCGGCAAGGCCGACAACGGCGAGATGGGTGCTCCGGAGTCGATGCGGTCCCCTTGAGACCGAATGGAATGCGCTGGAGCGCAATTGACAGCCGACATGGGAAACTCTTTCCTCATTATCTGTTGTCGCTGGGAGAAAATTCTCGTTGGAACTTCCCCCCCTACCGTTCAGAATCAGACGGCGAATCTGAAAGAATAATGAATCTGAAGTCTCATTATTAGCAATCTGAACGTGCTACACAGATTGTGCGCCAGGAGGAAGCAATTTTCGCTTTGCGACGAGGAGGGCGGAACTGAGAGGCGGGAAATTCGGTTCGCCTAGGCTCCCAGCGAAAAATCGGAAAAAATCGAATGCCGCATCTCGCAGAAGAGTTCGTGAGCCGCATGAGACCAGCGCTCGTCCTGCGTGGCAATGGTTTTCGCGGTAAACTCCAGGAAGACTGACTGAGACTATTATCGCAGTAGTTCCGTTTCTCGATTTCGTGGGGAAGCCGAGGCTTCTCGTTATTTTCGGCATTTCGTTTTGCGTAAAGCTCGCGGGAATCTTCCGTGTACCTTCCGAAGGCGGGGGGGGGGGCCGCCAGGAGCGCTGCGGTTGGCGCTGCTTCTTAGTTATAGGACGTGTGCCCAGAAAGAAGAAACTGACGGTCCTGATTCACCTAGGGTGCGCGAACTCGACCGACCCTCCATGAGGAAGAGTCCCGAGGATTTCTCAACGAATGGAGAACCTGGAACACGATAAAAGCGATCCAAAAGTGTTCCCAAGATTCATTCAGAGAGAGATCGCCGTCGCATGTCCTGCGTCTGGAAACGCTCTGATCGAGCTGGGATCATATGCGGATTTTATCTAGCTAGTCCGCCTTTTATTTCGATTTTCAGAAGTTCCGGGCAGGCATGCAGCTGTACTTATCCCAAAACAAATACAAGAATACGTTCACAAGCGATTTGTGGAGGGCTCTCGAAGAAGCCTCCTCAGTTCCGGTTCAATCAATAATGGACACCTGGGTGAAGCAGATGGGCTTCCCTCTGATCTCGGTAAAACAACGTTCATCGGATAATATTTCGTTTCTGCTCAAAATAACCTTGGCTATTCGGAATCGCGAGCGAGCCATGAATCATCCGTGCAACCAATGGAGATTCGGCCCTCGACTCCGAACGTTCGGAGATGGGAATGAACTCGTAAAGATTGAATTGAATGATCGAGACCGTGGGAGGTAATGTGGTTCCCTTGACCGGAGAGGCTGGCAACGAATGAAGAAATTGGGCTTCTCCAGGTGAAATCGCGAAAAGACGGCGCCAACGTAATCCTCACATTGAGTCAGGAGAAATTCTACTCTTGGGCCGAAACCCCACAGCGCAAGAAGTCCCAGCCAATTTGGAAGGTAAGTTCGTTCGCTATTCATTTGAAAACACTCTGAGATCCACCGTAAGAAGTGGGAAATATCAACAGGAGCCGGCCTTCCGCTCTCTCCCCGGAGTCATACGGATTCCCGCGCGTTCTTCAATCTGTTAGGATAACGTTCCCCATTGAGATTCTATCTTTCTCCTCACGGGCGTGTTGTTGTTGTTGTAAACATCGGTGGAGAAGGCATCGTTCTCGCGTAGCTGCTCGTAAACACGAGTCTGGCTTCGTCGGTGCAGAGAATCCATTACTTCCTCGAAACATCCGCTCCCCATAAGAGCAGAGAGATCCCGCCTCGACCTTCCGAGCTCTTCACATTTCCCTGTAGGTTTGAGCCGTCCGGAATTTCTTTCAGAACCTTACAGTATTCTCTCTCTCGCTGTCGAATTCCTCTTGGCGGGATGGAGCTTCGAGGTACATCATTCGATGGCTGTGTGGGAGAGATGTGTGGGGGTGATGTGCAGCTCTCGGAACGGAGCAGATCTTATGATTTTCAGCGGACAAATAGGTTCATGGAATAGCAGCATGTCTTAAAATCACATGTCACATCTTGAAATCTAAAATCGGATCGCGTGGATTCGCCAGTTTTCGGGACTGTGCTCCAAATTGTGTCAAGAGGGGGAGGGTTGAGTCCAGTCGGAGGCGGAGCACGCAAATCGCTACTCGACGTCCATCCTTGGACCGCGTGGCTGGTTATCTTCCCGAGAGGAGCTCCAAGGTCGCGTCAGGCGCAATTTTTATCCTAAACCTCCTGACCATCGATGACTTGAAAAGAAGTCTCCCCGAGATTCGAGTCGAGTTTACCTATACCTCTCAATTCTTTCTCCCGAGCTCCCTCCATAATTAGACCAGAGAGAGTAAGAGAATGATAACTTCCCGAATTGATACTACTCTCAGCATCCGAGCTCGAATTGCCCCCATTGTGGGCTCTCCGATGTTCCTCTACACTTTCCGTCGTCCCGTATACCCCACGTGCACCCCCCTCGTCGAATATTCGTCGATTCGAGCCGTTATGGGCTCATGTCGTACCGGAGTCAAATCACATAGGTTCAGAGAAGTCTTCAAGGAGTTTCGCGAATGCGAGTACTCTCAAGGAATTCGACGCGTGTATGTCGACAAGACGCGTTTCAACTCTTCCAGATGCCCGCATTCTGCCTCGATGAAAGTAGGGAGGTTCTCGCGACCTGCTTACATTTGGGATTATATCGTAGCAATGTTCGAAGCTCATTTCAGTCGAGGATTCGAGAACCGGGCTCGGGTTGAGCTTCGAGGGATGCGGGCTTGTCATAGAATGACGAACACACGCGCGTGTGAGCATTCCGGATCAAGCCTTTTCGATGACGGCCAACAGTGACTGCGGTAGTCTACCTCTCGTACTGTTGTCCAAGCTCAAAATGAAGTTTTTCCTCGACCGCTGTTTCGTACGGGCTGTCCTCGTCTCGGGACACTTCGCCGAATCAGGTCACATGTCCTCCTCTCGCATCCGCGTCGCCCGAGATCCGTGGAGTTTATCATTTAAATATATCCGTTGAATCCATCGAAAGTTTCAATACCAAGAGACGACCATATTCCGATTATCCCTCGGGAGAGGGCTGGCAGGATCGAACTGGATCATGAGGACCTCCGGCTCAGAAAAAAACCAAGCCGACGTTGGTCTCGAATTCATACGGTACCCGTTGACTTCTTGCGGAAACGAGAATGACCACCAGTCTGCTCTCTTGATGAATCGCTACCTCATCGCAGCCTCCCGTTCGATCTGCATGGCCTCACAGTCTCTCGGTGGGGTCTCTCTCGAACTCTCGACCCTACCGGGGATCAGATTGACATTGATATCTGAGCTCGATCGAGTGGAATTCGGTCTGATCCCGTCGTGCTCTTGAATGGGCGCTCGGACCTGATCTTGGGATCGGAGTCTGATTGACTGCGGGGGCGCTTTCCGCGTCGCAAAATCGAGAGGAAATCTGGATCCGGACTGGATTCCCTCCTCGAAAGAGAAACTCTGACAAGCAAAAGTTTCGCAAGGTGACCGAAGTCCTCGGGAACGCTGATGAAGCCGCGCTGCATTCAGCCTCGAAATCCCGATGATATATCCGCCAGCCCAGCCGGTCGTTGTGCCTCGAAGTCGACCAGGATATTTTCCTCACCGGCCAAGCTTCCAGCGCCGTTCGCGAGCTGCGTATGATTTTGTTTTGATTGCCCGCTCTCCCCTCAGGTTCCCATCGATATCGCGACTTCGAAGAACCAGCTGAAGCAAATCCTTCTCGAAACGCCAACGCAGGAAATCATTGTGGAAAATGCCTCGGACGCCGACTGGATTCACGTGAGTTGCGATTTCTCGCAAGAATTTCCAAGTTCCAGAGGTTTTCGTGTCGAGATCCCGCCGAACTCCACTGGGAACCTGGAAGGTGGCGGGACTACAGATGTGAGAGATATAATTCGTCGCGAGAATATCAGCGCTTCCCTCCTCCTTCCATTCCCCGTATCTTTTCAAGCCGGAAGATTGAATCCGCAGGTCAATCATGGAGCCGTCTCCCCATTCCGCACCTTATACGAAACAGACCGTCTGCAAGCATTCCTCCCAGCCATCAAAGACCTTAAACTGTCCGCAGTCGACCGTTACATGTTGCACGCCGACATCTCAGCCTGCGTGAGTATCCATGAATCGAATAGCGAAATTCAACGACTCACAATGAATGTCAGAAACCGTGTCTTTGAGTTTATGTGCCGCTATCGCTCCCCTCATTTCCGGGGGAATCGTTCCCTCGGAATGGGTCTCGCGATCTAACGATGGTTCGGAATGAATATCTCATTCGCGACCTTGTTGTTTCCCTCGCCTAATCCTATTGGTTCTGGAACGGTGCACTGTAATTTCATTCGGCATTGGATTTTCCCTATGTTCCACTCGAATCCCATTCAATGTCCAGAACGCTACGCAGTCTTTTTAATTCATTCACGCCCAAATCCTCTTACAGGTCCAAAGTGGTTACAGAAACAGTACAGAGGTTCTCCAACTCACTCGCGCATACGAGAACGAAACAGACTTCTCCGTATGGACTTCGATTGCGTCACTGTTTGAGAAGCTCAACGTTCTTTTATCCGAGCGCGAAGATTTGCAGCTGAAGTTGCATGAGTTTGGTCGCGGACTCTATCGAAAGATATATGAGAAGCTCGGTTGGGATCCTAAAACAGATGACGGTGGGTGGATAATGATTTTCCAGTATTATCTGAGGAAATCCCGCTTCACAACAACTTCTCATTTTCTTTGCGCCGCTGAGAATATAGTCGTGATGGCGGAAGCGTGCGTCGATATTAGGCTTTGCAAAAGACCGAAAATCTCATGAAAAATCGCGGTTATTGACTGCGGTTATTCGCTGTCCTTCAAAGAGTACCATGTTGAAGAAAAACCGCAATTGCGGTTATTAACCGCGGTTGCGAAGCCTAGTCAATATGGGCTCAGAGCCGAGATGTCCTGAGGATTCTATATTTTTAACAGTACACACAACGATGCTCTTGCGAGTGCAAGTCCTGACAATGCTGGTGACCTTTGGCGACAAAGAAGTCCTCGGAGAGGCGCGAAGGAGGTAAGCCATCCGGAGTTGTGATACGATGATCCATATATGTATTATTGATCCGCAGGATCATATCCCAACGCTACGGCTGAATCATTTCTCGCACCAATGCCCCTTTTCATCGAAGCTCTGAGCTGCTGACACGTATTCTTTGTCCGACGCGACTTCCAGGTTCGCAGATCATGTCAGCAAGAAGAAAATACTCATGGCTGACATCCGTCAACCTGTCTACAGAGCTATGGCTAAAACGATGAACAGCGAAACTTGGGTTCGGATGATGAAGCTCCACAAGGTAAGCGCTGCTTCTCTGCCTCGCATTGATTGGGCATCGATCGGAGATCATTTTGTACCACGATTGACTGTCCTTCGATCTATGTATTTTGTTGTTTGGTCGGCTAATCCGCTGCCATCATCTGTTTTTGTGCGCAGGAAACCACGCTCAAGGAAGAAGCCAATCGTATTGCTAATTCGCTCGGACACGTGGTCGACGAATATTACATCCAAAAAGTGATCCAATTCGCGGATACCGAGGTGAGAATCGAGGTGTCCCGAGTTCGTGCTTTTCGCGCGGGAAGGAGGTGCGGGGCGTGATTTGTAATGAAATGTGGCTTACAGGTTCGGATTCAAGATGCTCCTTTCGTCATCTCGTCAGTCGCCAGCACAGCATTGGGAAGGAACAAAGTCTGGGAGCACTACACAACCAACTTCGAAATGTGAGTAACTCTCCTCGAAAAATATTTTTTGGGATGAGAATCTAAAGGAATCGAGCGAGACACCTCGCGATCAGTCCCCGGTCAGAACATAGAGATTCTTCAAGCTTTGGGAATCGGGGATCGAAGCGAAAGTTCCGTCGGAGAATTCTTCGCTTTGATAGCGTGGTATGTGGTTGATATACAAGGTAACCCATTCAACATGGGCATCGGGAGTCGGGAGGCGAAGGGTCCTCTCGTAGAAACCATCCTACAGGACATATATGGAGGGATTCGCCATTTTTAGAAACGCGTGGGATTGTTCCAATTCGAATTGTTTCGAAATTCCAATCTGAACGTCCAGGGTGATGTTTTCCGCATTGCTTCCGAAAACGGGTCAAGAGAACAAGTGTACTCAGGAGGATCGAGGTCGAGTACCTGCTACTCCGTGAAGAGATCCGGGGGGAATTTTCGTCGGCAGCGGGGATCGAACCCTTGCCACCTCCCTCAAGAGCAGCGTCGTTGCGGCACTCCGGCGCGGAGAGGAACGCTTTTTCGCACGGGGACTGATGAACGTGCAAACCACTCGAGCACCCGTCGGCGTCGGTCTGGAATGTGTGGGATCGCATCCGAAACGGAACCTCATCAGAGCTGTGATATCCCACGGATATTCTTTTATCGAATGGTATTCTATTCAAGGTACAAGACGAACTACGCTTCCGGTCATCTTCTGACCCGTCTGATCAAAGGAGTCACCGAAGATTTCAGTTCTTTCGAGAAAGCGAAGGAGGTGGAGAACTTCTTTGCAACGGTGCGTTTTCTCTCTTGGCTCATATCCGGAAGGGCGCGAGTGACTCCAAAAGTTCACTGAGCGGAAGCCTACGGAAGTGAATATTCGAATCTGAATGTAATATAATCTCTCGTCTCGAGTCTGGATATCCTCGGGTCTGGAACTCCGGTCTGAGCTCACTCCAATTTCCTTCTTTACAGAAAAATATTCCAGGCGCGGAACTGACGGTCAGACAGAGCATCGAGAACATCATTTCCAACGCGAGATGGCTACAGAGAGACGAACAGTTGATCAAAGAATTTTTTTCCAAACTTAATTAGATAGGACACCCCCTACCCCAGTCGGGATAGCGATTTTCCATACGATTTTACTGACGATAATTGATACTATAACGGGACATGAACTCTGACGATGTTTACGGATAGACTTTGGATATTCCCCTTAGATCGAAATAAAACATGTTTTCCAACCGAAATTCAGTGGTGCCGTCGGGAGGTTAGACGGATCGTCCTATCGTATTTCGACAGCTCGATACAGAACCGCCCAAAACCTCGTACCTGGCAGGCTTATTTGTGCCCGGATTGTTCCAATCATTGTTCCGGGAATATACCAGGGGTGAATCGCTGTCTCATTGGCTTGAGGGGAAGTTGGGATGCACTTTATTGGGACTGCGGGAGATTATATGGGCATGCCCCTTTATCAGAGCAAATATGGTGATCGCTCTTTTCGATCCAACGAGGAACTATCCCTGAAAAACTGAGGGATCCAATACGTGAGCTTCATTTGGGAGAGATATCTGCTACATAGCGGTGCCCCCATTAGCTCTCGCGAATGAGATTTTCTCCACTGATCAGTTCTTTACCATAAGCGGACTTGATGCCATCCGTCAAAGAAAAAAATACTGTAGTGTCTTAAAACGGCAGAACCGCGGAATAGATACCCTCATCTCTTTCCTCTGTGGACTCATCGAATTCGGATTCACTCCCGGATGGACAGTTTAATCTCGATTCGAGGCAATTCAACTTTCGGATTTCGGAATTCACTCCGAATTTTCACTGCCGCGGATTCTGGAATAGATCGGAAGGTCCTCCAGAATGAACCCACTCTATGCGTCGGAAGGAACACAACTCGGGAAAGTGGTTCGGGGCATCGGCATTCGGCTTACTTAAATGCAAATGTCGTGTTTTTTTTTCGTATTTGTCAATCGAGCCGTGGACTCCATAAATAACCCGTCTGACAACGGCTGAGCTGGAACAAGTGAAGCGATACGGATGCCGGAGCGCCAGAAAAGGCCGCATCAGCAGCTCCGGCAACATCGATAGTCGTTGACTGTTCTCTCGAAGCAAATGACCATTCGATAAGCACATCGGCTACGACCTCCTCCGATCTCCGTGGTAGTTCTTCATCCAGGTCTCGTTTCCTTCCACTCCGCATCGCCATCGTCAGCTTCTCCCACGATGGTGAGACGTATTGCAAGGATGAAGAAGCTTGACCAGACTTGTAGCGCATCGGCACAGAATACTCCCCCTGTCCCAATCGTTTCTGATGCCGTCAGATAACGAGCGGCTCTCAAAAGCTCACAATCGGGTGTGAACAGAGAACTTTCTCGCTGTTCTGCCGACACCGCCTTGTTCGAGCGACACCCACTTGAATCGACACGTTATCGACGACGTTATCACGGACACGACTTCGTCTTAAATGTTTCCATCTTGTCGTACGGACAATCCGACACACACAAATAGATACTTTCCCGCGCCACCTAGCCACTCAGGAGCCAGAGCAAATACTCTCGTGTTTCGGCTGTGTACGTGAGCACTTACTAGTCAGACACCAGGGCTCACACGCTCTTCGAGACAAAACACTTCCCAGGAGCGTGAAGAGAGATAAGCCCATAGGATGCTTTTCCCTGGATCTAATGCAGGGACGAGGACCCTTATCGGGATGTGCCGGGAGCCCGCCGATCGATTACGGAAATCAGAGACTTCCCCGTTCTACCCCTTTGAGGAGGAAGTCAGGTCATGGCACATCAACTGATTTCTGGATAAGGCAACGATCGATGAGCTCACTGCTCCTGGAAATATTCTTCGAGAGAAGGATTCCTGAATATCCAGCCGAAGCGATCACGGGGCTCCGATTGAGAGCATGAAGACGCAGATCAGAAGAGACGTTCCCGCGTCCTAATCGATAGAATGTTACTACTTAACGCTTATCGTTGATGAAGCCATAGAGCACCCTGGGTATATTTGGACGGCGCGATAAGGCGGCCGAACTATTGCAGATGGATGGCGAGCCCTTGTCTCCCTATCAATCGCATGCTTTCAACCTCTTTGTATCAATCCACATCGGCTCGGAGCCGCAGGATCTATCCGATCCACGTGAATGCTCCTCACTCGACTCATCTGAGATATCAAAACTAGGCGGGGTCGATAGGCTACCCGCTGATGTCCGGAACGCTATCCAATAGATTCCGAACGGATTCAGATTCGTCAGTGGTCGGCAAGTAACCGAAAATTGCAACGATCGATCGTTTCGGCTTGTTTTTGCATAGATTCGAGAATCTATTGATTGACCGATCGATCGATTCGCCGATCGTCCTCTTATCGGCGGGGAGTCTGGCTTTTGAGAATTCGCCGATCGACAAGACGACTCGCCGAGTCGTCAACGGTGTCCAGAAAGGCGTTTTCCCTTTTTCGGCGGTTCATATTCCAATAGGATCAAGGATATGCTGGTGAGAGTGACTGCTTGTGAGAGGAATCGCTTTCGATTCTGCTCACAATCAGCCGTCGACCGAATTCACGTAGGAATTTTCTGAGCAGGCAGCTTTAAATCGATGGTAATGAATTCTTGAGAAAATACCTCAAATACGGAGATGTCATCCGGTCTCGTGACTGGTAACCGGACAGTACGTGCCCGACGGCTATGCGAACCTCAAGATTGAGCTCAGTCCGGTCGGACTACTCGGTCGGTCGCACGATCAGCGATTACGAGCTGGGAATCGACTATGAAGAGGAATGGTGACTCTTCGGGAAGCCGGAGAGCGCATCAAGTCTTCCCCCCACAAACGCAGACCCGTGATCCTCCTTCATGGGCCTGTCATGAGCAAGCGGCACCGGCGTTCGATCCGGAGGAATCATTTTCCAAGCTCTCGACTCCTTTACTTCGATAACTGCTGCCGTCCAACTCGGCATCCCCGACAAGTCTTTCCCCTAGATCAGACAACACTTCTCGATATCCGTTTCCCGATGGTAGACACGCAGGGAAATATCGAGCCCGCATCGCCCACAGTGGGCCAATACGATCATAGGCGGGGAACGATCGCTTCGATAATTCGCCTCTTGTACGGGGACCAATGAATGATTCCCGCTAATCGGCCCCCCTCGCAGGAGTTTCCCCCTCGGACGGAATGCTTGCGATTATCGGTCACGATGTATTGTTGAAGATTGATCGAGTAATCGATTAGTAATTCCAGAGGGATGGAAGGGGGCGGCACCGACTGAAAAACGTTCTTCCCTTCCGCGTCGCTTCCTTGGATGCTCGCGACTTCTCCCAATATTGGCAAGTGTTGAAGAATTTTCCTTTCGCTCTGGAATCTCACAATCAGCCAGTATTGGGGTCTCCAATCAGATCGGAACTCATAAACACGCGAACGTCTCGACCGAAATACTTTGTCTCCCAGAGGATAGAAACGACTTCCTGATCGATGGCTGCAGCCTTCCTGGAGCGGTTCATGATGTCACGGCGGGAGGCATCGACGAAGAAAATCGACCAAGGAACGATGGGTTGATGGAGGAAGGAGTCCCTCCTGTTGGACACGCTAAGCAGGGAGAAAACGCCTCATTGATTGTAATGGAAAGTCGTGACTGAGTCGCGGTGTCCCGTAATCGGAGCGTTGATTGATTATAATGGATCTTCTAAAACTGGTTCTTTATATTCGGGCAGGGACGGTCGTTGGAATGATTTCCCCTCCTCACTTTTCCCTTGCGACTCGCCCGTCGTGGTATACCGTTTGCCAGAAATATGTCGCGCGTCATTCTGGAGGATCCCACCGCTCCCGATCCTTGCTAAGCAGAGAGTCCCGCAGGAGTTCTGTTCAAATCGGAGGCGCGTTCCGCGATTCGAAATCTGACTCACTTAGTCGAGATTCGATGAATCTCCAATACTTCCGGTCGAGGAGCTATCGTCGGAGCATCAATGAGGACACTTCTACGAGACTGATCCTCAACAGGAGAGAAATGGAGCAAGTTCGAGAATTCGATGGAACGATCGAATATTTCGTCGAGCATATCAATTGGTATTCGCGTTGAGTAAAGTCAAATCGATCGCACACTGCGCGGAAGCGTCTTTGCGACTGTCGTAGACGTCGCTGCTGTCGAAGCCGCCGAGACGACGGCCGGTCCTTAAATGTAACGACGGCGTGGAGAAGTGAGCCGGATTCTCGCTCCAAGTTTATCCGACTTTTTTTTCTTTCTCTTGGGTATTTAAGAACATCACAGTGGGGCCTCCGGCACTGAGACGGTCGGTCGACTGGCCGGTCGGCCGCCCGACCACGGACAGACGGACGAACTGACAGACTAACCGTCTGATGCCATAAGACACTCACTGAAGGACATCCACCTCGTCGTCCAACGGCGACAACCAGCAGCAATGGGAGCACCGTCGGCAGCAGAGAGCCGATTTCTCCGTTTGCTTCATAAAGCTGGAGCTCTCTTTTACACTCGTCGTTAATCGTCGTAGATGCAATTAAATATTGAACCGACTTTACGGCATGTCGAAAACCTTACGGAACACCATGCGAAAACAACAACAGTAGTGACAGTGACGGCGGCAGCAACAGTTACAACAAAGTCGCAGAGAGCCCCGCAACCGACGAGGGAGGACGAATCGGCCAGCGCCAGGGGAACTTTTTCCGGATCCTGGAGTACTTTGACGAATATCGGGGAAATACATAGACCAGAGATCAAGCTCAGCTCATCAGCTCAAAAAGGAACAAATCCGACTCGATCGTGACGATTTTCAGGATAGGTGTCGCAGCAGCAGCAGTCGGTGCTGTGATCCCGTGCCGACGAGGAAAATTGGAGCTTCTGGATCACATTAGATTTATGGAATTCCCCTGCCTCGGAAATCTCCCAGGAGTCGACAAAATAAACAAAGCTCCGAGCAGGACGCTATCGCGTGGTTTCGGTGTCCAGCTGCTCCGCAGTCGCTGAGTCACTGGTCGGCTCTCTCGCTCGGAGCGTGGATAGGGTTTCAGGAACAAACATCTGCGCGAGTCAAACGTTGAAAGTCGTCGGGCTTGTATACGAAGTGGTCCTCGCAGCGGCCGATGTCATAGCTCAGACTTACGCCAGACCAGGCTGTGCATGCTAATCACAGGAGCCGGGTGTTTTTCTTCCTGAAAGTACGATTCTGGTGCATTATGGCGACCAGTCCCGCTCATGGCTCCCGTTGGGGCCTGCCTCTCCCCGGCGGCTTACG